ACCCTGTCTTCTGTTTGCTGATAAACCACTTTCCCGGAAGTTGCAAAAGAGGGGTGCAAAAATACTCCTACTATGACATGGCGGAAAATTGAAACATGTCAGTTTGCTGATAGTCATATGTTGCGACTGTCTGAATCGACAGAGGTCAGCGGTCAAAATTAAGGCCTGTCACGGACAGACATATTTTAGCTGGGACAGGTAAACGCACAAACTCCCTCCTCTCTCTGGACAGATGAATAATGATATAAAGTTTTACTGACCATCCAAATCGGGTTGTCCAAAATTTCTAATTTGCAGAAAAATGCAGTTTTTAAAGACTTATAAAATGATGAGCTACGAATGGACATTTTATTTCAAATAATATGTCATAATTTATCTTGCTAGGGAAAGGTACATAATCAAATGAGACAGGTACTTTTATTCTCCAACAAGTCAGTCCAATACAGACAATATTAATATTTAATTTCCACACATGGAGATGAAACGATCAACATGTCTACTACTCACATCTGATTGGTTGAAAGCAAATAACATGTCTATTACTCAAAGCTGATTGGTTGAAAGCAAACAACATATCTACTACTCACATCTGATTGGTTAAAAGCAAACAACATGTCTATTACTCACAGCTTCATATCCAAAACATGATCTGGCAGCTGTTTCATTATAACCAAATGATGGACCTTCAAAGACAGCTCCTGGCAATGACAATACTTCTTTTAAATACGCATCTAATTTATTCCACACCAGTGTGCCATTTGAATCAGACACTTGGGAAAAAATATCTGAGAAAAAAAAGTTGTAAAAATTGTTACTATATTTAAAACCACTTGAACATCCCAAATATAGTACAATTGTTGTCACTTTCAACAAATCTAGCTGTATAATTTTTTTCCAACTTTTTTTATATAAATATTTGATCAAGACCTGTAGATAATGATAAATTAAGCTTATTTTGTCCAAAATTAATGGAAAGAAAACTATGTTAAAAATGTGCCAAAACTTGCACCAACATTTTTGGCTGGAAAAAATGATCGTACTTGTACTCCAGCAATGTTGTACACATGTATAGTTGTGGTAGTTCACAGAACATATTAAGCCTGTAATAAATGCTGCCTTGCATAGGAAATATCCTGCACATACAAAGCAAATACAATGAAGGAAGTCATAGCTTTTTTTCCATAGTAACCATGATTTCTATTTTGAATCAGTCAAGTAGGGTCGAAAAAATGTTAGTAACAGCCATTGAAAAATAATAATAATAAATAATAATAATAATTTATTGACACAACACCGATATAGTACAATACGGCAGTATGGCCACTAAATACAACTACCGGTATTAACTACATTTAAAATAGAATTAACATATTTGGCGAAAGGTATCATAAGATGAGTATCCAAAGCACTTAACAAATAAATGAATTTACATTCTTGATTTAGTTTTTCAATATCATTTGTGTTACATGACAAAAGTAGTTCATTGCTGTAGCATGATAGCATGACCACTTTAAATCAAAGTAAATTGAAAACTGTCTGCATATATATGCACTTATTTTGAAACACTACATAAAGAGGCAGAGTGTTTACGCACAATCATTATTGTAATATTAATTGTCACTGTGATGACAACATGCCGGCATACAAAAATAGCTTCTGTTCCCACACAGCATGAATTCAGTGAGGAACGTGCCATATATGCAACATCCATGCAGCAACTCAAACAACTTGTATCGTCAATCAACAGTGGGAAATTACAAGGAGTTATTCATTTTATTTGAAGTAATTACTCACAAATTACTTCTTTTTTTTCAACTGTGCAATAACAATTTAGGTAATTACTAGCATTAACACAACCTTGGCAACCTTATTATTATTCCACATTGCAAATCACGCAGCTAAGACTCTTTGACTACAATGTCTTATGATTCAGTAATCACACTAACGTTTTCATTCAACCCAAGTATTAACCTAAATGTCCCCTCCAAAGTACCCAACTTTTGACTAATTACTCCACATTCCAAAATTTTGAACATGATTTTTTATCAGACCAAAATTTTGATACAACATTTGAACATTTTTATGTAATTTTGATAATTTTGAAAACCAAATGGATATAATTAGCTACATATCTTGCTAAAAATTTAGGAAATTTTTGGATGAGCAAGTTTCTCAGTGAAATTGACAAGAGATCTGGGATGAAAACAACATTTCTCAATGTCAAATTTTCTTAAAAGGGAAAAACACTGTTGACAATAATGTCTGTGTTTTGGTAGTCCTTATGTAACTTAACGTGACCAATTGGAAGTGTTCACAATTTGCTATGAGCTTATTGGCTAATTAATCCACGTTCAGCTATAATCTGCTCTATTTCATTAAAGGCACAAAATCCTTGCTATTGGCCACTGCAGCCTAACAAGTCAAAAATCAATAAAGATAATGCCATTTAGTTAATTTAGAAGATTAAAAAAACAATAATTTCATGAAAAAAATAAGAATTTTATTTATCCAAAGTTGATTTTTAACGGAAGTTTTCAGTGCTGCGATAAATATATTTGATTTCTTGTAATCATGTTTTGTGCAAAAATGTCAAGATAGTTGCATTGCCGACATGTTCATAAACAATACTATGTATATTTCGGATTGCTTCACGACCCATACATGTAAGTAGCAAAAATTGTGGAAATCACACAATCCTCACTAGAAGCAAATCTACAAGCATCTCAATATATAGAAAGTTGTGTGTTTAAAGTTGTAATATATTCTGCATGTTGTTATAAAAAGCCTTTAACGTATGAAGTAATTTTAGCCACAAAAACAATAATAAGTAGTAAGGACAATGATGAGCTGACTGACCATTTTATCGCTCAGCCACTATGTTATTATCTATTAAAATTAAAATTGCATCATTCCACCAATGACATTCATAATGCGTTTCTGGCATGAAAATGATGATAGGCCATTTTGAATCAGATTCTGATTCTATGCATATCTGTTACAAATATGATGTATGTGTAAAGTTTTTACATGATCAGCCCAGCTACATGTATGTTATCAATATGACTCCAAAAACAGCATTCATTAAAAAAAATGGCTACCAGTGAGTCATTTTCAATCTGAAAAATGTTGTGCGTCAAGGACCGATTATTTTCAATGGACATACCAAGTTTGAATGAATGTATATATATGTATGATATGATGTGTGATGTGTGAGTGAAATTTGAATGAAATCAGCCAAGGCATGTCTGAGATACAGCTAGGTGCAGACGAACAGGCACACAGACTCATGGAGGTGAAATTAAAAGTCCCTGTCTGGACGGGAACAGCCTATAAATTCGGAAAGATTAAACCCAATGGTCGCAATGGGGCATGCTGCATGTCAGTGTTTTCTTCTTAATCCCAAAGATACTTGATAATATTCAGCTATTGGGAATAAGCATGTGACCCAGATATCCTGTAAATACCGTAAATGTAATTGGTTCATTTTGTACATGTGTGAGACACACATTACTCTACATGCCAAGGGCTTTCAATAGAATACATCTGACAGCTTTAACAGAACACAAGGTGTTAGAATGGCACAATAAAAGGGTTATCAGTTTACTAATAATGAAAAGCCACCAGGGAGTGAGTCGCTGTGCGCGATAACAGCGGCAAAGTAAGAAGTAATTACGATCAAATCTGACAACATGATGACGCTAATTTGCAACGCAGACATGAAGTCAATTATTCAACATTTTGACACATGCTTGTATTGCTATGGAAGCACCAAAAACTATAAATATTGGTATACGTTTGTTGATGCAATGAATGACAATGTGTTAAAATATAACAATACTAATTTACCGGTACACTAATTATAGACAGGCAAAAGCATGTTTGAAAATAGCAAGGCAAAAAATTTCTTGAAATTGACACATGTTTTTTTTTATTTTTGTTAGGAAATTGTGAATAATTTTATGATTTTCCATGAAAACTGAAAATTCTTTTTAAATCTCTCGAAAAAACAATGAACCTGTCACACGCATAACTTGAAATTTTTTTTTAATGTATAACTATTTTTATAAATACTATAATCATTCATAGTCAGTGAAGGAGCAATGGCATTAGAAGTTTAGGATCATTAGTCGACAGACGTCCAGCATCAATATATAGCAAATCTAATCAAAATCAGTTCTCAAGTTTTTGAGATTTTGCTTACACAGGCTGAAATGTGGCAATATGCAAATTAGCTACTTAATTTACATGGTCATGGCTCTGAAAATATAACATGACTGCACATTATCTCATGATACCTACATGTATGTCTCAAATTTGATCTAAATTATTGCAACTATCTGAGCTAAACATGTTTAGGTAACATACACTGCAGTCACAAAGAAATTACCGGTAATTTCTATTAAAAGGTCAAGATTATGATGAAATTGCCTACTAATAGTATTCATTTAAAGGTGTGATGATTCAAATTAGTTCATGTTTATTTTTCTATTAAAAATCCTTCTTAAAAAATTATTAGGCTAAATGTACTGTAAAATCCTTTATTTTCGCTTTTTGTTTTTTTTTTGATGAAGGAAAGATTCTGTGAAAATAAAATCCAGCGAATATACATTCTTTCCTATATTTTACATTCAACTCACCAACAATCAGTGAAAATAAACTCCCTACAAAACAGCCAGAACATCATTTCAGCGTACTCGCACACATACAGTGACAAGTAACAATGATATCACTTGAAATATAGCTATTTAGCAGTTTTCATCTATAATACGTGTCAAAATTGATAAATTCTATCACTTTATTTCATAATTGAGAAAAAATAACTATTACTTTATACAACAATGGGGAACAGTGCAAATAGACACATTGGATAGCATTGTAAGTATATTTTGTATGGTAAATTGGAATGGATCTAAAGTGTTATCTGAGCTTAAGTGAATTGAGGTCAATTCTTACATTCAATATGCAATAACAGGATAATAACGGCCATGTATGTGATTTTTTTTTTTTAGTTGATTTGACGTCTTGAGTTGAATAAGTGGCTATTTTCTATAAGCTAACTTTTAAAATTTAAGAAAGGAGTTGGTGAGTAACTATTTTGTTATGATCATTTTAGACATTGTCCAATTCATCACCTAAAACTGCTTTTATTTGAGCATGAAAAATAACCTCAAGTCTTGTACTCCTGTCATCCACCATCGACAAAAGTATACAAATTTGAAAAGCGGAACTATTTCCACAAAAAACCAGGGATATAAGCAAAAAATTGAAAATGCTAATCTAAAAATTTTATTGAGATGAAAAAAACAGAGGTGCTAGTCTGTAGCCATAGACTTGTTTTTGTTGTTGATTATCTATGGTTATTTTGTAATTTACAGATAAATTAAAAATGTGAAAGGTTTGTCAATAATTTGCCTTTCACATTTTGTACATGTCTAAAACATAGAGTGCCTGTCTTATTGTGCTGTCACAGGAAGTCTGTCTTAGCATAAGTCTGTCATATTTTGGCTCAAATAGCGATCCGTCGCTTTTTTACACAAGTACATGGAACTAGATTCTTCGTTTTACAGTTTAAGTTGCCTTTTAATCACGTATTTTAGTGAGATATTGTTTTGTGAGTGAAATATTAATGTTATACATAATTCAATCTTTCGAACAGCAGAAATTAAGACATAATAACAATAATAAAATTTGTGTTCGAAGTTTGAAATTTCCTGCGTAATTTTAGGTTTCAACTAGCTTGAAATAGAATGTCAGAATGCAATAAAATAACGTGTAGAATGCCTTCCTAAGCAGGAACTAGTAGTGATAACAGATTGCAGATTTACGCATTTTTAGGGCCAGCTAGTTTATTTCTACAATGCTTCTAAGTTTCATTTATCATTATTTAGGAAAGAAATCACTGAAACAGTTTATTATATGCATAAAATATGAGCCAACCGACGATTGATTTAAAAACATTCGAAGTTTTGAACAAACTCCTAGCACTCCTTGTGCGAAATGCTTAAGATATACAGTGTCAATAGTGCCTGTCAATAATGACAGATGGATGGCTGGCTGAAAGCCTGCATAGAACCAAAGAGACAAGTACCCAAAATGTTACAAAATTAAAAGAGTGGTTTTCTAGTTCATAAATTCAAATACATGTAATAAAAAGCATCATCACAGTGCTGAAAGTCACAATAATGAAGCTGATTCAACTACATTAGCAAAATTAGAAAAGTTCACCAAGCTGACTGCTCATTCTAAATGTACAAGCCAATTCAAAACCAGCTGATTATTGCTAAAATTCTACTCACAAAACTAAGGCTTTCATATTCTGGTATCATATTAAATATAACAGTTTGAAATACAAGCATGTCATCTCTTGCAAAAAGTTGTTTTACATTTGTCGGTACATAACCCAGCTCCTTGACACAAATTATAATTATGGTGTGAAACCTATAATAAGCATAAATTTTAAAAGAAGGGCTGCGTCATACTTACATCTGAGTTTATCCATGAGTTTCCCTGAGCACAGTGTTGCCAAGGCAACTTTGATAGATAATACTCTCATGTGGCCACGTCCCTCGCTAAAAAACAAACACAATTAAAGTGACTCAACACATTAAAGAGACAATGGCTGCGACTTTGAATTAAATGTAAGCTCCGAGTAGAGACCATTACGTTGAAATTATACGACACACACATCTGTATCGAGTGTATACCGGTCAATGAGACATGCTATACACAATACTGTACATTGCACATTGCCATAGAAACCATATTCCATGATCATAATCTCATCATTCACCTTACCAAAGTCTGACAATGTTCTGTTGTCTTCACTTGTCAAACGATAAGAAAATCAGAAATATATCTTTCAGTATACTGTTACATAGAAGCACATTTCCTGATTGAATATTTACTAGCAACTGGCAACAGCAACATGTTGGTTGTCTGAGTCATCTGCCAAAATGCTATTTAAATGACGAGCATGAGGACACCATGGAAACATGACATTATAGCAAGTTCAACGTAACACCAATCATGTCCAACTGAATCACTTACCTATCATACGCCAGGAGTAGAAAATTGAGTAGCAAGCTGATAGATTGATCAATGTTGATTTGATGCGTTGAGGGGAGTCGTTTATTTAATTGATAATATATACTAGCAATGATTCCTTCTATTTTAGAAAAAGGCAACTCTGATGAGTGTTCCATGGTGTTTAGACCGTTCTCTCGGTATGCTTCAATGATATTCCAAATGTCTACAAGATGTACTGAAAACAAATTAAAATAAACATTACTATTTATCTAACAATAGAATTTACCATTCAGTAAAAAAAAATGCATTTCTTCCAAACTGTATCTTCACTCATTCCAAAATTCAAATTCTCATTTATATGGGAATTGACACGTTTCAGCTTGACAGTGAACATAAAGCACTATAGCATGTAAGGAAAATAAAATCATGTAACTAAATGCAAAAGTTTAAATACTGTAGCATAAAACAGATTCATTGACATCTTCAGTTGTTATCTATCATTAAATTATTACTACTAACAGAAAACAGATGTATACATAATAAAAAGGTTATCATGAGAATACCTTAAAGTATGCACTCAGGCAGTACAGCATCACATCAACCAAGTCGATACAATCGGCGTACTGCCTTCTTGTATACTTTGCAACATTCTCATGATAATTATATTTTACATCTGACAACATATAGCCATGAATAAGTGACAGAATATTGAAACATGCTATCTGCAATAGGCAGAAAGTATGAACTACATGTGATATATAATTAGGATTGACTTATGTAGTTTGATCTTTCATTTATTTTCTACCTCTCCCTACCTTAGTATATGCCACTGATGGTGTCTATGGAAACAGACATTTTTTAATGTAATTTAAATCTCAAAACTTACAGTTACATTTTTTCTGTACAAATCGCAGCTTACAACTTGTTCTGTATGTGGCAAATCGAATCACATCAAAATTTTGGTTTCCTAGAAAAATTGAAATTGATAATGCATTAATAATATATACTCACACAATTCAAATGTATGAAATCATTTTCTCAAGTTCACATACGGTACTATCAGTATACACATTCACCAGGTACAAAACTGTACATCTCAAACAGAAACAGCAATTCAAATATTAAGTTGTTTCAAATTCAATAGTTTTAGCTTGTCTCTTGTAAAAACAAATACTGAAGAGAACTTACTCATTTCTGTTATAAGTTGACGCCTTTCATCATTGATTCGCGAAGATGAACTTTGACCTGACCTAGACTGCCCACTATCATCCATTGCTGTCAGATGACCTACAACCAAACAAACGATTCAATAGTAAGAGTATAGCTATAAATATTCAAGTTGAGAAAGTAACATGACAACCAATCAGTGAAGTGCATATTTGGACTATTCACTTGATTGGCCAAAACCAGTACATTTTTATAGGTCCAGGTACTTATCAAACCTGTAAAATGGTTTGGCAACTGTAATTTTTATTTTCAATGGCTGAATTTTTGTAATTACTAAATCCAAAAGTCCTGCTTTAACTCTACTTGCCAAGTGCCATCACCGAGTATTTCGAACAAAATTTCTTTCAGTGAACAAGCTTATTTTGCATGCATTCTTAGAACAAGTGAACAAAAACTTTAAATTGTCTTGCATTTAGACTAGGAAACTGAATTATGAGAATATTGACGTTAGTAGAAATAGACATTAACTTTTAAACCTCATCAACGAAGTGAATTGAAACACAACCAGACAAAAGCACTATAAAGTACATGTATCGTAGTATGAAAACTATCTTATACGGAATGGTCACAGGACTTCTCACTAATGTACTATGAATGGTGTTGCCATGGTAACCAGACAAGAGGTGATAGTGGAGGCACATAGTGGTGTGTATATAGGCTTGATAAGAGATATCCATTTAGATAATATAGATAACATTTTGACTATAAATTCTCCTCTGTGAAATGCATAGGTTGCATAAATCGATGAGAATTGTCCGGTGCGTTGACATAATACTGAAAGTGACAGGCCTGTTGCTCAATGGCAATATAGTTGCATTAATGAAGGCCATGTCATTTCCCAAATAACTTTTATAGATTTCAAAAGACAAATCCATAGAGTGACCAACAGAGACAAAAGGGACTACTTCCTGCCAATGGTTCTTTCCAAGGGTTGTTAAACTTTTGAGGATTTCAACTTTTTTGACCTTGCACAACGTGCATGCATAATTATTTCAATACTTCTTGAAAAAAATTATGTGGTTTTATTTTGTGACGAGTGACAAAAAGGCATTCAAAGGGATATAAAGAACATTAGAACTGTAATAGCATTAAGCTTTATATTAAGTGTTGCTACACACCCACCCAATACCCATCATCACTGGTATTGATTTGGTATTATAATTACGATTAAGCAAACTAACAAGGTCACATGACCTATTGTAAAATCACCAACAAAAAATAACATTCCACAGTAATGCACCTAATGTGATACTCATACCGAGCCCGACTGAAATCAGACCCTGTCATTTCAAGGAACCGTATGGAATTCAAAAATATCTAAAAATTATGATAACCAAAAAAAGACAACGTGCTATAGCAAACCATATGTGTGATGTTCATACCAAGTTTGAACAAGATATTACTGAAATGCCAAAAATAAAATCCTTGTCCAATTAAGCAGCAACGCCATTGACTGATGATTGTGAATTAAACAGTTTGGAATGACGTCAGAACAGAATTGCAGAATTCAATAAAGGCGACCCAAGTATGTCAGAGTTTACGTCATTTTAATAGCAATCGTTACTAACCTAACTGGTGTACATGCATGTGTACAATTAGATGAAAATGAAATCACACAGAAAGGACATAGTAACATCATGCAGGTATTGCATGTACAATCAATATTGAACAGAAATTATATCTTAACAAGTCTAGACAAAATAATATGGTAACTGATGTGGATATTCGGCAATATGGAAACTAAAACGAATACCATGAGCAAAGTGAATAGGTAAATTCATGTGAATATGGCAGCCAATATGAATACCATAATCACTGAATATGGCAACAAAGGGGAATAATTGGCAACTAATTTGAATATCATGAGCAATGTGAATATGGAAACTAAAATGAATACCATGAGCAAAGTGAATAAAGAAATTCATGTGAATATGGCATCCATTGTGAATACCATAATCAATGAATATGGCAACAAAGGGGAATAATTGCAACTAATTTGAATATCATGAGCAATGTGAATATGGAAACTAAAATGAATACCATGAGCAAAGTGAATAAAGAAATTCATGTGAATATGGCATCCATTGTGAATACCATAATCACTGAATATGGCAACAAATGGGAATAATTGGCAACTAATTTGAATATCATAAGCAATGTGAATATGGAATCTAAAACAAATACTATGAGCAAAGTGAATATGAATACTGCATTAACAACATTATTATGTCATAAACAATGTGATTACAGTCATGTAAAGAAATCAGACAGCTGTAGCCATTATAATTATTCATAAAATATTAATAGATTTATTGGTTTTGCAAAACATTCATAAAAGCTGTCAGTACATAAATAATTGATGCCATATTTTCTGTATTACAACCACGCTATGCTTATTATGTAAATAAATAAGGTGTTTGAGCTTTGAGCTTTCCATTTCAGAGAGTTGTCTTCTATTATTGGGCTTTTATTGGGGTTGAATTGAACCTTACAGATCTGCGCCAACATACTGGAAACATACTGGAAACCACCCGAATCTGCCAAGAATTTGAATCTACAATAGCTGTAACTATTGATCTTTTTTCTCTGATTTTTATTTTTAATAAAAAACATTTACTGTGTCATTAGTGTAAATTTGTAACAACCATCTCCGAAATGTGGACAGTGAAAGCATAGCATATACACAGGGGATTTTCGAGAAAAAAAATGCATGAGGGAGCACTGCAATTCAGTGGGGTGTGGAGTTTTTGATAATTCCAAGTTAAAATGGAGCATTCTATGGCTTCCTTGGGGCCAAAATTCTATAAGACAGGTCACAGTTGAAGACTGTGGCCACATGTGATCCCCGGTCAATCAGAATTTCATGGTTGCCAGAGGATCTGCTCCCCAGGGTAAGGGGGCCATGGCATGAGGGCGCTGCGCCCTGTTCCCTTGTGTATACATGCATGCATGTAGATACTGGTGTTGTACATTAAATCACTTGCAAGCGACAAAAGAAGGTCACATCCCATAGTAGTGTGCATTGTGTATCATAATTTTCTACGACCACTATCACATGACTGATTTCAACAAAATGGCGACTTGATGACTTAGTTTTCACATCACATTTTATGTAACATTAGCCTTATGTAGTGTCACTTTGCCCATGCAATCATGTCTAAAACAATATTTCGGTAAGATTTGGTGATTTTTATGTGGTTATATTTAAACAAAAAAATGTCATGCTTTAGCTTTAATTTTCACAAAATGTTGATCATCGCAAAAACAAATTATTGAACCAACATTTCTGTTTTAGGGGTTCACCATTAGAAACTGAGGGGGGTGAACTTCCATACCAATTTCAAGTTTCAGAATAATTTTTTTTTTTACATAATGATGTTTTTAATTTTTGCTTGTGGGAGTGAGTGGGATTTTTTTCTTCTATTTTCTATGTAGCATATTTTTTTTCAATATTTTTCAGAATCAACCACACCAATTTTATAAAGGTGAATTTTATAATGGTTATAACTGAACAAGCTGACAATTTACTAAAGTAGTAATACAGAATATCACGGCCACCTGTAACTGCAAATGAATGGCCTTACATGACCACAGACACTTAAGAAACTGAGAGAAACAAAGTGTGAATTAAAGTAAGACAAATACTGGACACAGGTGGTAACACCTCAGGTGGTAATGTTTATTTTAAACTACTGATCATATCATGAATTTGTAAAAGATGTAGCTAGTACGAATACTAATGAGCTTTGGAGTCTTTTGGCCTTTCTCTTGGGAAGGACTCAAGCGTCACAGACGACTAGCAAACAAATTAGCTCACTATTACAAAATCTTCAAAGAATACCAAATGAGCAGCCCTCTATGAATGAATAAAATCTTTTTTATTTTACCAAATACGTATATAAGTTTCAATATAACATATATAGGAAGAAAAAAAAGGAAAACATAAGAAAAGTCTATTTAAGGATGGTGGTCCTCATGTAAAATGTATTACAAATAAAAAATTATCAAGACTTCATAGGCAATCAAGGTGATTTACAAAAGTAATCAATAATATTAAATAATAATATGTTGATCAGATGTAGTGTGCAATGACTTTGAACGTATGAATGTCTCGATCTGCAATTGTGCTTCCGATACCAATGTGCAAATGGATGGACACAGGTAACCACTATATCTTTCATCAGCAACAGTACCGGGGCATAATAAATCAAATAGAGGTCAACCTCAGATACCTTTATGAATACAGTATGTAAAATATTAAAGCAATTAGACTGATAGCATTATAAAAACTAGTCGGTAATATTATTTTTTAACAATAATATTCACTAAAATTATAGAATTAAATTGTTCAGGCTGCAAGTTTACAAGAGAGTAAAAAGGCTGGATAAACAAGGAACATGTACCACCAAAAAATATTAACAGTAGTAATTTTTAGTGAAACGTCAGCTGAATGAAAAGATGTGAACTTTTACTGCTGTTACGTAGGTGGTAAAACAGTATGAACAAAATCTACAATGTGACATTACGGAAGTCATTACGTCCCCTGTGGGTGAGTTGGCATTATGGAACTTATTATGTCCCTGTGGGTAGAGTTGGTAAACCAAATGTCAAATGAGGAACAGACGGCTTTATGCTGATTCTGGATTAAGTTAATAATAATGGTTAGATTTACAATAACTTTAATCGACTTTTTGTTAAAAAAATAAAAATCATAACTTGAGTGTGTTTTCGTTGCCAGCACAGGCCTACTACTATTTGACTGAAGATTACACAATTGAAAGAAAAGTTGAATGTGCATGCATTTAATACTGAATTGCTGCCTATGAATGGAAAATAAAACTGGCATAATTAAAACGGGTTTTGATTGACTTCTCAATTACATCCCGAAAACTACAAATGTTTTCCATGGCAGTATCGCCAATATTTCTAAAAGGGCTTGAAATGTTTTAAAAACCTCTGTAACTCACTACTTCATCCTTATTGGTATATCAAAGTATATTATATGCATTAATTTTCCTGAAAAATACATTTTTATTATATTTTTTTTTTACAGCAGCAAG